CCAAGTTACAGCATCACCTCTGCTTCCCGACGCGTCCGGATGTGACCCGCTGCCGGATCCATTATCTGTGCCCCCTCCCTTCTGATAACCTTTCATCGGAGCCGTGAGGAGACGAGCCCCGGTGCTGTGTGATCGTGCAGCAGCAGCTGATGATCATGTTCCGGTCTCTCTCTCTCGCTCTCTCTCTCTCTCTCTCTGTGCTCGTTGAAAGCCGCACGAGCAAATTGAGTCTCCGCGTTAAATCCGTTACTGGCCTTTACCGGCGCTGCGCTGCCATGGCAACAGTAATTAAACTGATAGGGTGAAATGTCAGCTTCTCGCTGCATGGCGAACACAGCGACTGAAATAGCAGGCTCTCCTCTCCATCACCATCATCATCACCATCATCATCACCATCCTCCTCCTCTCCATCCCTCCGCTCCGGGCTGCGATGATGATACATGTGGCGGAGGACGCGCGGCTGCAGCCTCAGTGAGAGCGTGGAGAGGAGGGAAGGGAGGGTTCGAGCAATGGAAACAGAAACCACCAGGGCTCCGAGCAGCTGTGATTCCCCTTCCTTTATGGGGACATGCAGCTTTTGTTCGGGACCCTCCTCCTCCTCCTTCTTGGCAATCGGAAGGGAGAAGCGGCCGAATTCCTGCCATGCTTGTCTCCTTCTCCCCCGAGTTGATTGCACAGTAAAAAAGAGGGATGAGAGGAGATGGGTGAGGGGGGTGCTCGAAACTCTTCCTCCCTTTGGTTTGGTAATGAGTAGCAGGGACTTTGTGGTGGTAACGAGGCTGCTGGACGGATCAGTGCCGCTGAACAGGCACGGCGGCGGCGGCGGCCGAGCAGCCGTGCGCGGCGCGCTCTCCAAATCCAGCCAATTAACAGATCAACAGCCAGGACGCACTGGAACAAACGAGCTGCTCACTGCTCTGCAACCTGTTTGATACCGTCTCAGACAACCTTTACCAGAATAATACAAGATATCAGTGTTGAAATAATATGCAGCAGGTGGGAAATGATTTGTTTTATTGTCTGCTGGTAGATGTTTTCCTTTTTCTACAACAGCCCACTGTTGAATTCATCTGGTGTAGTTTTCCTCACTGGCACCTTTAGTGTAAAAAAAAAAAGTTTGTCCTACTTAACTTTTTCAACTTCCAGTTAATTCATTTAAAAGGTGGAGTTATTGTCTGCTTTGTGTAATTCGCTCCATTAGTGTCCTGCTGGTACATACACACAAATCACTAAAACAACAAAACCTTATAATAAAACACACATTTTGCCCTTGAGGCTGTTCGACTTTCAGGTTCATCTAAGTCATCAGTGTTGGAATAATTTCGATACTGACTTCAAGGAAGAAAGAGTGAATGTCCCAAACAGTGAAGCACCTTAATTCAAATGGTGCAGCAGCAGTGATCTAATTAGTGGTTTCAATTGTGGTGTTTTAATTCAGACAACTATCGCTGAAGGATTTTTGCCGATTGTGACATATTCAAACTAAATAAGGGTTAAAGGAAAGTTTCAGTGATTCAAAAAATAACTAAAGATAAAACTACAACTTCAGAAACAGTGTGTGTGTGTGTGTGTGTGTGTGTGTATGTGTGGTGAAAGGAGGACAAAGGGGAGTGGGGGGTGTGCCTGTCCTCAGGGAATAGTAGGAGAATACTAATTCCAGCCTGGTGCGAAGCCACACTGGGCCACGTTGCCCTCCTTCTCCTCCCACCCCACCGGCCTACAAAGGCTCTCCACAGTCAGCTCAGGCCGAACAATGCAGCCCGCCGCAAAGCTCCTCGCCTGTAGCCACGCCTCCCTCAAACACAGAGGGTCAACATATATCTAAAAAAGAAGAGTGTCCAGGAAAAAGTGTGAAACTGTGGCTTTGTGTGTGTCGGTCCCGTAAACAGTTAAACAGTGCTGTTGTTAGTGTAGCGACCAACGAACAGCTGGCACGCTCTTCTTCTTCTTCTTTGTCACAACTAGTTACAGCCATTTACTCACAGCTCTGGAAACAGACTTGTGTTCAGTTCAGTGTTGTTTAAATGATACTCTAAGGAGAAAGAATTATCGGTGTGAATACAAGTGTTTTCTTCAGGTAACAAATGAAACAGCGTCCACACTTGTTTTTGTTAAACTCTTTTTAAAACCAGTACGATAATACGATAAAGCAAATTCAGTTCGACTTTGTTTTTAGCTGAGGCCGGATCTATTCTTCACAAAGTGTTTTCCTTACGTGATCATTCCACCAGACTTGAATCGCAGCTCGAGTCGTCGTGCGTTCTCAAACTTAAACATCTTTTTACACCTTACTAACTGCGTACTGGACGACAGTCACTGTAACACACTGACTTTACCGTGAGCACGCAGGAACTGTAACACACGTGACGTACTCTACATGTCTGTTTGGAGCTGTGTCGTCACCATGTGTAATCTTGTTTTAATTGCAGCGTTGGAAAATATTTGTTTGCTTTAAAAGTGATTTTTAGAAGCCTACGATGATGACCTCTTTTCTCACTATACTTCATTCAAAAAATAGTGTTTACCCTTTTCAGTGCACTGGACAACTTTTTTTTTACAGTGATACTGACTGAAAGTAACTGATGTTTTTATGTGTGAACGTAATCCATGTGTAAATTCGTCTTAAGATTCAGATTTGTTTGCTACGCTGGTACCGTATGACGAGTGTCTAAAGCCTCTTTCTTTCTCCCGGCTCCTTCCAGGTATACAAATGCTCTCCGTCCAGCCGGACACCAAGCCAAAAGGCTGTGCCGGCTGCAACCGGAAGATCAAGGACCGCTACCTGCTGAAGGCCCTCGATAAGTACTGGCATGAGGACTGCCTCAAGTGTGCCTGCTGCGACTGCAGGCTGGGCGAGGTGGGCTCCACGCTCTACACCAAAGCCAACCTCATCCTGTGCCGGAGAGACTACCTACGGTAAGAGAGGCAGCTGACATTTTGTCTGTGTGACTGTCAACGAGAACACCGAACTCTCAGTATGTGTGTGTGTGTGTGTGGGGAGTTAGAGTCTGAAATCTACTTTGCACACATTTGGAGTTCCAGTTGTGCGCCTGCTTTATTTTGTGGGAAGCAGAACAGACAGATTTTTATTTCCCTCCCCTCCTGTGACCTTGTTTTAAGGCCTCAGAATTTGCTGTAATCCAGCAATTAGACGGTGGCAAATTTGTTAATTATCAGATAGAATTTATCCACTCTACAGTTTTAATTAGTTATATTTGTGTTTATTGTTTCTTGTTATTTCTTTTATTATTTGCACATATCTGTGCAGCTTTCTCACGAGTCCTCATTTCCATAAATAGCACTTTGGAAATCTCTATTTACGTTCCTCGCAAAGTCTCTAATTAGCCTCAGACATGGATGCTGTGGCACCTTCCAGGATAAATAGTTATTTGAAATTAGAGACATATTTGGATTGAGTAGTTGCAATCAATATTTTAATGAATTGAATTTTTTTTTTTAAATGTTTTTATTTAAATACAAGTTTAAAACATGATACCTGGTTACATAAGAGTAATCGAGCTGATCCATAAAACGTGTGGTTTTCAGTGTGGCTGACATCCTAACTGACACCAGCGTTTCACTGTGACTCATTCATTTGTTTTTGTTTGTCATTTATGATTTGAATTCTTTAGTAAGTGTGAATACATCAGCCTTAGACTTCTCAAGTGACCCCATGAACACGTGTGCTGTTTTGCAGAACAGAGCCCAGGAACCTCGCTCTTTCTGTTCCTGGGAGTAAAGTCGGAACATTTATTTGCATCTTAGCTTTTGCTTTCACAATTTGTCATTGTCATAATCCGTTATCAGCCACACACACATAGTCAAGTTGGTATTAATGGTTCATTAATTCGTGGACATATGGACCTAACTGCTGTTAATTAAATGACGCTGATCACTGCTTCATTTGATTGACAGGTCTAACTAAATAGTTTATTTACTACATCAACTACTACAACTTCTTAAATTATCACTATTAAACAAACTCTAATTTAGTTATGAGTTCCAAATAACAGTTATGAGTATTTATTGTCTGTATATGGTCAAACTGACTCATCAACCCTTTAAAAAACAGTCAATCTACGTGTTTTATCAGTTTCTTCTGACACTTGTTTCTCAGACGTTATCGAGGGAATCATCTCTTCCTTTTTTTAAAAAGACGACAGGTAAAATGTAGATCAGATTCTGAGAACATGATCGCCCTCCTCCTCAGAGCCACCGCTGCTGTTGTGTGAGGCCTGCTGAGGGTTGTGTACGTTAGAAATGAATGTGGCACATTAAGGCTATCGATTTACGAAAGACAAGATAGTGGAGGATTAAAGTTGTCCTGCTCATTGGATTTCAATGTAGTGTATAAACTCTTTATTGTACGCATTCATTTTACATTTATAAATAAACATATTGGAGGACATTCACCGACTGGGAGGAAAAAAAAATCCACATTTTGTCTTTTTAAACTGTCTTTAAAAAAGAAAGATATTGTGAGACATTTTTCACACGAGTGAATTTCCTTCCTCTCCTCTCACTCTGTTTGTGGCTCGCTGCAGCACAGCGGCCTGGGAGCATGTACAGTAGCAGCTAATATGTTTCAGCCTGTGTGCATGTGTGTGTGTGGGTCCTGTGCACCTGACGTAGGCCTCGTCACACCTCAGCCTTGAGATGAGAGAGTCCCTGTTAGGTGCTGTCGACTAACAGGCTTTGAGGAGAAGCCGCTTTGGCAGGGAGTAACCGAAACGCTTACGAGCCCAACCGAGGGGCTATCATCCCGCACAGCACCCCCCGACTCAGTCAGCTGTTGGCAGAGAGAGAACAGACAGAGGAAACTACAACTGAAAGAAGTGTCTAGCTCATCCGCAGGTTGATGGTTTGATACCCGACTCTCTGTCCATACGCTGATGGGTCCTCGAGCAAAACACATAACTCAAACTGCTCCCAGTGTGTGTGTGTTTGAGGTACGTCTGTGTTTCCTAAAAAGCCATACGAGACGGAGAGCAGGAAAGAAAATAAACCATGTGCCACAGTAGTGTGCCAGGCTAAAGACCCAGGGGACCTTTAAGGTGACAATGTTAATAACAGCATTTCTTTTAGTCAGTGGCTTAGGCTTAAAGTATAATAACAACGATACTTCCATACTATGCAATATCTTCTGCACATACAGTCGTCTGTAGTTAATTCTCAGTAATGCACTGTGCAATGTAAGCCTACGGTAAAGTTAGAAAAGCACTTTAAATGTTTGAATGCAGACTAATGGTTCACTTTGCATGAATAATGTCCTGTGATATTTTGCAATGCGAAGAGTGTGAATGTTGGAAAGCGCTCAGACGCCTGCTCCTCTCTGAAATCTTTACTGACATGAAGAATCAGAGTTGCGGTAACATGAACACAAACAAAAGTTTAACTTCCTCCCAGATAAACTCCACCTTGAAAGGCACATGTGACCGGTTCCTTCATTTCCACCACTGGACCACAGTAGATCGCCAAATGTATATTCATCCACCACTGAAAATAGTCCCAAACAAATAAGCTGTTTACTTTTGTGAGTATTTACTGAGACTCGTACAAACTTTTTTAAAGATGATTAATAGAAACCAGTGGCACCAGACTTATATTATTTCTTTGTACATTCACTGCCGTGGATACGATCATGCTTCAGCGTGTTGGTGTAATTTAAATATACCAGCTCCTCTAAGTGTTTGTCCATCCACAGTCCACCACGTCTCTCTCGCCGAGCAGCAGAGCATCAGAAATGTTAATCCTTTCATCGACAAAGTTCAAGGTGATTGAATTGACTTGACGCCCGCTATCGCTCGTGTGGCCCCGCTCGCGAGCGCACCCTGACATCTCCTCACTGCTGGCTAATGAATGGCAAGTGTGTGGCAAACGGCGGCGATCCACATCTGGTCTGCGGAGCGACAAAGAAAGCCGGGCTCCATCACTCAGCCAGTCAATTGCTGCAACATCACAATGCACACACACACACACACACACACACATTCCCTGACTAAAAAGGAGACCTGAAACATATCATTTCTACTTATATTTATCTCCGTCTGTCAGCCCAGGTTAGTGACAGGAGCAGGAAAGAAAATGATGACTTCACATTTAGTCCTTTTACATTCCATTGGCTTAAAAGGAAATTATTTGGACCTTCATTATCCGTCCCCCACCCTCTTCTCCGAGTCAATCCCACTCTGCTTAGCGGGGTGGCATGTTATTAGACCTGGCATAATCAGGGGTAACAGAATTCTTCAGGGGTCTACAACCATGAGCGACGTGATCCGCCAGCAGGAAAATGATAATCCTCGCAAAACGCGGACACAAAGGTGAAGCAAATACAGGGAGAGAAGACTTAAAGCTTCAGCAGGCCCCCTGTGTGATCAAACATGATGCACAGTGAGTGTGTGTTTGTGTGTATTTAAAGAAAAAAACTGGCTGTCCCCTCATAAACCTGCGACCACAAACATAATTACAGGTATGATCTACGAGAGCGTGATTTGTGCTCCGCTCCCTCCGAATATGGAGAAATTCAGCAAAACATTTAATCAACAAATGATCCCCTTGAAACCAAAAGCTTCCATTGACGATGCCGGTAATGGCGCGACGCCGCTGCTTATGCTGATGTGCTGATTTTCACAGCGCGTGGTGACAATGTGTGAAAGCCCAGAGGAGGGGGGGAGAGGGGGAGGGAGGGGAGCAGACAGACAGACACATTTAAGTAAAAAGAAAAAAAACGCAGAGAAAATGAGGACTGCGGTATACAGCGGCCTGCTTGAGTGCCACACACACACACACACGAGCTGGCTCCAAGGCCACGGTTTAAGAAAAAAAAAAAAAAAAGAAGCTGTTGGGCATCAGTTAATGAAAAACTGTAAATTCCAGACATCCATTTTAAAGACAGCACTAGGAGAACACTTATTTATTTATCTATCCATTCATTCATTTTTTTTAATCCAACTTCAATTTTCCTCTACAGTGGTTTTAGTAAGATTGTAAATGCAAGCAAACTGGCGGAGCTGTCAACATGGCTGGATTTATTAACGGAAAGCTGGCTATCAGTGAGAGATAACCAACATGTAGAGCATGGTTCAGTGTAATAACTTACATTCCCCTCCTCCTCCAGGATCAACTTTGTAGTCCACAGCCACCTTGTATAACCATATGTGTAAATGTAAATGTATCTTTCTTTCCCATCGCACATCGGGCCTATGAAGCATTGTCAGTTGGTGTGTCGGCATCAGACGCGAGTGTGACATCAAGTCAAGCTTTATCTCCGACGAGCGGCAGGGAGTGAAGAGAGCGGGCTCGGGCCGTCTGAAACTCATCTGTTCTTTTCTGAAATCTCATTTAGATACATTCTTTCTCACGAACATGTGTCAGACCGTTTTAATAGAAAAGACGGTCCAGAATGTGATTACGCACAAAGGTCTTAAAAATACTTTTTCTGAGCTCCGACGTGTTCGTATGAAGGCCTTGATTTAGATTCGGAGGTGTTCACACATCTACTGATTCATAGATCCAAACATAGCTTGTTTCTTTGATTTTTTTCCACAGCCTTTAATTTCCTCAATTCCCCCGTTAATTGATTATTTATGTTGGCTCATACAGGTTCATCCTGTGTGCATAGTTTTACAACATTTATAGTAAATGTTGTAAAAAGAAGAGTGCACTGAACTCCTGATAATCTCTTGAAAGAATCTGAAATGATCCAACACGTCTGTAACTCAAATGTCCCAATCCGTTGCTGTGGGCTTTCTCCTGCCATCTCCCCAGTAAAACCTGGATAATGTCCGAATGAGCCTATGTTAAAATACAGCAGGAGATTCTTCAGAGGATTGGTGACATTTCTAATAACTGAAAAAAAGAGAATACGAATATCTGAGGATGAAAAAGAGGTGTCATATACGTTTAAGACAAAGTGT